CTTGTTTTTATGCATTCTCTAAACTCACTTAAATATCCTTTTGGACATTCATCAACGCATTACTCTTTAAATCGTAATTTTTCACATTAATCTATTATCTCAAGATCACAAAATCCAGATAAACAAAATTTGCAATTCTATGGACATTCTTCAATAAATATGTTAAAGTTCCTCATTGATAATTATATCTAATCATCAAAGATGAATTCTATTTTTATATCAGAAGTCTAATGCTCAAATTCTATATGATATTCCTTAAAATCTTTTTCTATAATAAGAAAATTTCTCTTAATTCCATTAACCTTAATTAGTATCTCTACTTAACTAAAATTTGATTTAGCATCAAATATAATATGTAATCTCCTATATCCATTCACTCCCTCATATTTTATTGAGTAGCTTCCATTAGCCACAATCTAATAATCATCCTCAAAAATCAAATAATCATTCTTAATTGATTCAATGATTTTTTTTGAAGTTATAACATTCCAACATTTAATCCATTGAATCAAGAAGAATAGAAATATCAATTACATTTTTTCAAAATATTATTTATTCAATGAAAATATCTTTCTTGTCAAGAAGAGACTTAAATACAATCTCAATTTTAACAACTAATCGCTAAATCATCTTTTATATTACGTATTATGTTCATTCAAATAATATTGCATAAGCTTGGCTTAACCAACAGTTATAGAATCATAAATTCTCTCTTTACGATGTCAATAACTCCTATAATCTTTTATAACTCTTTACAATCTAATTTGATATACATTCCTAATGGAAAGCTATTAACTTTTAATTTTGACATTAACATATTAATAATATATGTAATAACATAATCGTGATATATGTTCTCCATCACTTAAATTACTAGAGAATATCCTGCAGGTTTAAAAAAAATATATATATAGATTACTCAAAGTACAATATAGAATATAATAATGAGTATATATTTACATATTTCATTTAATTAATAATAAAGATAATTATTAATCTTTCATATTATTATTTTATTCTTATTAAATAAAATATACTAATCCTCTATCTTTTTCAATAAATATCAAATTTTGAAAAAGTTTTTTAGAGGATTAATTTTTTTAATTATTGATATAATTATTTTGATTTACAATAACTTTGTACTAGAAATAATACTAAAGTTGTCTAAAGACTAAAATTAATGAGTTAATTTAATATTATCAAAATATATTGAGTGGAAAATTATTTATTTTTTAATAATTAATTTTTAGACTTATTCTCAAATATTGTCTTAACATATACAGAATAATAAAACTTAAGCTAGTCAAAGGTTTATGAATAATAATAATATTGAAATGTTAGATTTAAAAAATTATAATATGGTAAATAATTCAAAAATTTTGTTTATTTGAATCCTCATTAAATAAATACATAAATTTTTGATCTCCAATCCTTTATTTATTTTGAATGACTAGTTAAAATATTGATTATTTGTTAAAATTAATGATTAGTTAAACTTCACCATATGAGTTTCTAGATTTAATCGTAAATTTTAAATATAATTATCAAAAGACTTATAGTGAAGAGCAGAATTATTATTAGAATATTTAGATTACTTCAAAAATTTATAATAAAAATCCATTAAATCCAAAAATTCCTAAAAGGGACTTTGAAAGAGATTCAAAACAATTAAGAGGCTAAAATTATTTTGTTATTGCCAAAAATCTGCTCCAGTTATTTATGTTACCTAAACTTAATTGACCCTAAAACAAGAGATTCATAGCAGCCTCTAAAAAAGGAGCATAATACATATAAACAGAAGGTTTGAGAAGACAATTTATTTTACAGTAAAAAAATTTTAAAGATAGAAAAAGAATTTCTTTTTTTTTTTGAAAATGGAAAAATTGGTGTTGTTTTTGGATTTTTTAAAGGTCGGAAATTTTAATGGTTATTCCAAGATTTCATTATGGTTGCCATAAAATCTTTTTTTTTTTTATTGTCAACATAATGCTTATAAAATACCATTTATTTAGATCTTCTTTTACATTTATTTAAGCTTGCATTCTGAAAAATCAATTGCTTACATGATTAAAATAATGCAAGAAACTGATTTTTCTGAGACAATTGCATATAGAAATGATCACCTCCAAAATTTAGGAGATTATGATAAGGAGAAGAAAGTATTATTTTTAGGTTGAAATTTTTTACTTTAGATTTTTTATTTTTTTTAATAAAATACAAAATATATTCTAGAAATTTAAATAATTAATTTCTCTCCTTATAAAAATAATTTTTTATTTAATTTTGAAGTTTTTTGCTATTCAGCGAAAATATACTTATGTAATACCTGTTGACCAAAAAAGGTAAAGTTCCTTTAATATTAAAATTCAATTTTATTGGACTTTATTTTTTTATCTAAAAACTTTAACTCTCTAAGAACATAATAAATATGTTACAACTGCATAGAGCTCTTTGACAATGTTAGATAAAAAATTTTAATATAAGGAGAGCCTATAATGATTTGAATCGGCTCCTTGAGAATAGTATACTTATCTGGTTCTTTGATTACCATTTTCTTATTTCAATATATTTTTTACCAATTTTATTTTTCTTTCATTCAACTTTTAGGACTATTCAATTATTTATAATTTTTTGATACATTTCAAGGTAATTTACTGAAATTATTTTGATATTATTAAAAAAAAATATATATTTTCTTTGAGGTTTAATTGTATAAATTAAAATTTGTAAATTGAGAACATTTTTCTAATTTTTCAAAGGATTATTTGTAAAAACAGATTTATTCCTAAGATTTACTTGGAATTTTCTTTATTATACTAAATTTATAAAATTATTATTTTTGCAATTATCATAACTATTTTTAATATAAAAGAAAAATTCAACTATTTTATCATTTCCTTAGTGTTTAATTTTCTACTTTGTTCATATATGAAACATTCCTTATTTCATTTAATCTAAAATATAAATGAAAAACTTACTTTAAAGTTAATTGATGATTCATACTCTTTAAATTATTAATTGTTGTTTCTAATTCTAAAATTCTTGAATTATACTCTACTTTAAGTTTCTCTTCAATTTTATCATAATCTTATAATAATTTAACTGATTTTTCTCTGCTTTATCGTTCCCTATTAATAGCATCTTCCATCTATAATTAAAGATTCTTTATTTTATAAGTATAATCATCTTAAATTTATTCTAATCTTGTTTCATAATGTCTTTTCGTTTTTGCAAGTTCTTCTAATTAATTTTAACATTATCTAGTTAATGAATTGATTTTTCCTTTCTATGTTGAAAGTTCTTATGTTCGACTGGTTAATTCAGATCTAGTGTGTTCTAAATTTTATTTTAAGTCTGCATTATTATTATTTAATGTTTTAACATAAGAATCATGAGATTGTTTTGCTAAATTAAATTCTGCTTCTTGATCAGTTAATTTTTACTCAAGTAATGTATTTTTTTCTGTTAATTCACTAATTTATCTTTGTAAATCATCAGTTTATTAATAATTAGTTACAATATCTTATTTTAACCCATTTTCCATACGAGTAATTTCTATTTTTAAACTCTTTATTTCTTTTGTTAATCTATCATTTAAAGTTATAATTTAATTTGCTTCTTCATTTAATCTATGAATTTCATCCTCTCTTTATTCAATAATTATTTTATATCTATTTTTTAGACTATCTGATTGTTTATCAAAGTTTTCTTTTAAATTCATTATATCTTCTCTATGTTTAGCCATTTGATTTTATAAAGTCTAATCAAATTATTATTCTTTTAATTAATATCTATCTTTTTCCATTACAGCATTTTCCCTTTCTTCTTTTAATTGCTTAGTTAAAATTTTATAATTTTCTTCTTTCTTTAATAAAATTTAAATTTTATTTTCATAGTTATCCATCATTTTAATTGTTTATTCTAAATTACTCTTATTTTAATCTAATTCTCTCTTTAATGCTCTATTTTCATCCCTTAATTAATCAATTTCTCTTTCATCATGAACTTATTTATCAAATAATTCTCTTTCTTTCTTTTGTAATTCTTCTAATTCCTTTTATAATTCAGTTTGACTCAATTAACCTTTGTTTTAAAGATTTACAATTTCTTGTTTTAAATTCTAATTTTAATGTTTCAAAACTTTATTTTCATTTTCACTTTTACTGAATCTTTGAATATATTCTGTTTTCTCCTCTTCAGTAATAGCTACTAATTATGTTTAATTTTAGAATTTATTTTCTAATATATCAAGTTTAATCTTTAAATCATCTTATCCAATTTCTAATTATTAATTCAATTATTTTAATTCCTGCAATTAATTTAAATATTATTATTCATTTCTAATGAATGAATCATTTTTTAATTAAAGATCATATATCTATCCTTCATATTATTTTAATTTATTGACATATATGCTGTTCTCTTCATTCAATAACCTAATCCTCTCCTCTAAGTCTTCCCTCTCCAATTCATTAAAAACAGTTTTGATATTACTAGCACTTCCACCTTATTAATACAAACGAAGAAACTATTCATTCTTCTCCTATAACTATTTTCTAAGAAATGTATTATCATCATTGACCATTTATATCCTGGCATCCATAGCGCCTAGATCATCCATTAACTTTTGAAGTATTACATCATAATTTTTTATATGTTCTTCATATACAATAAATAAGGGAGCTAAATAAGATAAATCAGTTTGATGATTGATGTCTTGATGAATCACGTCAACTCGAGTAATTCCCAAACGTTTTAAACATTCATTAAGTTCCTTAGATAATCTTCCATCTATTTAATATATTAAATTATTAATTACTTGCATTTACTTGGAAGGAAAGTTCTGATTTTAATGAGTTTATTTAATTTAAAAGTTCTGCTTCTGATTATTTTGGTTAAACCATAGACATTGGATGTCGTTACATTTTTAAACTATTTGTTCTGTTATAAATTAAATTAAATTTTTATTTTAAACAATTTACTAAATTAAGCTATAATTATCAATTTTTTCCACTTTTTAAATCTTCTAATTATTCCTCTGTTGATATTATATTGATAACTATATTATTCTTTAATCCTTATTTCAAGCAGTAATAAAATTAGATGTCCTCTTTTGTATAATCTAATGTTTGGTCAAAGTTATCAAATAAATTTTGAATCTCATTTAATTTACAATTTCCTAGAATGTAATCTTCTACAGCTTTTAATTTAGCATGATCCAAAATATTTTTATAAATTTATCTTTTATATTTAAAATAGTTACATAGATTTTTGTAAATAATTAGTCAATACAGCTTTAATATTAATTGTTTTTATTTAATTATTTGTTTCGGATTTTGCTATTTGAAATTTTGATATGTTAATTGATGTGTTTTCAGGATTTAGTTATTTAGGAACACTTTATTAATTGAGTGGATTATTTTATAGAGAGTTTTATTATTGAGCATTTTTTTGATTTATTGTGAAGCTTGGGTTTGGTTATTGAACAGCATTTTATTAATTAAGTAATAAATTTTATTGTAGGGTTTGTTATTGAACAGTATTTTATTAATTAGGTAATAAATTTTATTGAGGGGTTTGTTATTGAACAGCATTTTATTAATTAAGTAATAAATTTTATTGTAGGGTTTGTTATTGAACAGTATTTTATTAATTAGGTAATAAATTTTATTGAGGGGTTTGTTATTGAACAGCATTTTATTAATTAAGTAATAAATTTTATTGTAGGGTTTGTTATTGAACAGTATTTTATTAATTAGGTAATAAATTTTATTGAGGGGTTTGTTATTGAACAGCATTTTATTAATTAAGTAATAAATTTTATTGTAGGGTTTGTTATTGAACAGTATTTTATTAATTAGGTAATAAATTTTATTGAGGGGTTTGTTATTGAACAGCATTTTATTAATTAAGTAATAAATTTTATTGTAGGGTTTGTTATTGAACAGTATTTTATTAATTAGGTAATAAATTTTATTGAGGGGTTTGTTATTGAACAGCATTTTATTAATTAAGTAATAAATTTTATTGTAGGGTTTGTTATTGAACAGTATTTTATTAATTAGGTAATAAATTTTATTGAGGGGTTTGTTATTGAACAGCATTTTATTAATTAAGTAATAAATTTTATTGTAGGGTTTGTTATTGAACAGTATTTTATTAATTAGGTAATAAATTTTATTGAGGGGTTTGTTATTGAACAGCATTTTATTAATTAAGTAATAAATTTTATTGTAGGGTTTGTTATTGAACAGTATTTTATTAATTAGGTAATAAATTTTATTGAGGGGTTTGTTATTGAACAGCATTTTATTAATTAAGTAATAAATTTTATTGTAGGGTTTGTTATTGAACAGTATTTTATTAATTAGGTAATAAATTTTATTGAGGGGTTTGTTATTGAACAGCATTTTATTAATTAAGTAATAAATTTTATTGTAGGGTTTGTTATTGAACAGTATTTTATTAATTAGGTAATAAATTTTATTGAGGGGTTTGTTATTGAACAGCATTTTATTAATTAAGTAATAAATTTTATTGTAGGGTTTGTTATTGAACAGTATTTTATTAATTAGGTAATAAATTTTATTGAGGGGTTTGTTATTGAACAGCATTTTATTAATTAAGTAATAAATTTTATTGTAGGGTTTGTTATTGAACAGTATTTTATTAATTAGGTAATAAATTTTATTGAGGGGTTTGTTATTGAACAGCATTTTATTAATTAAGTAATAAATTTTATTGTAGGGTTTGTTATTGAACAGTATTTTATTAATTAGGTAATAAATTTTATTGAGGGGTTTGTTATTGAACAGCATTTTATTAATTAAGTAATAAATTTTATTGTAGGGTTTGTTATTGAACAGTATTTTATTAATTAGGTAATAAATTTTATTGAGGGGTTTGTTATTGAACAGCATTTTATTAATTAAGTAATAAATTTTATTGTAGGGTTTGTTATTGAACAGTATTTTATTAATTAGGTAATAAATTTTATTGAGGGGTTTGTTATTGAACAGCATTTTATTAATTAAGTAATAAATTTTATTGTAGGGTTTGTTATTGAACAGTATTTTATTAATTAGGTAATAAATTTTATTGAGGGGTTTGTTATTGAACAGCATTTTATTAATTAAGTAATAAATTTTATTGTAGGGTTTGTTATTGAACAGTATTTTATTAATTAGGTAATAAATTTTATTGAGGGGTTTGTTATTGAACAGCATTTTATTAATTAAGTAATAAATTTTATTGTAGGGTTTGTTATTGAACAGTATTTTATTAATTAGGTAATAAATTTTATTGAGGGGTTTGTTATTGAACAGCATTTTATTAATTAAGTAATAAATTTTATTGTAGGGTTTGTTATTGAACAGTATTTTATTAATTAGGTAATAAATTTTATTGAGGGGTTTGTTATTGAACAGCATTTTATTAATTAAGTAATAAATTTTATTGTAGGGTTTGTTATTGAACAGTATTTTATTAATTAGGTAATAAATTTTATTGAGGGGTTTGTTATTGAACAGCATTTTATTAATTAAGTAATAAATTTTATTGTAGGGTTTGTTATTGAACAGTATTTTATTAATTAGGTAATAAATTTTATTGAGGGGTTTGTTATTGAACAGCATTTTATTAATTAAGTAATAAATTTTATTGTAGGGTTTGTTATTGAACAGTATTTTATTAATTAGGTAATAAATTTTATTGAGGGGTTTGTTATTGAACAGCATTTTATTAATTAAGTAATAAATTTTATTGTAGGGTTTGTTATTGAACAGTATTTTATTAATTAGGTAATAAATTTTATTGAGGGGTTTGTTATTGAACAGCATTTTATTAATTAAGTAATAAATTTTATTGTAGGGTTTGTTATTGAACAGTATTTTATTAATTAGGTAATAAATTTTATTGAGGGGTTTGTTATTGAACAGCATTTTATTAATTAAGTAATAAATTTTATTGTAGGGTTTGTTATTGAACAGTATTTTATTAATTAGGTAATAAATTTTATTGAGGGGTTTGTTATTGAACAGCATTTTATTAATTAAGTAATAAATTTTATTGTAGGGTTTGTTATTGAACAGTATTTTATTAATTAGGTAATAAATTTTATTGAGGGGTTTGTTATTGAACAGCATTTTATTAATTAAGTAATAAATTTTATTGTAGGGTTTGTTATTGAACAGTATTTTATTAATTAGGTAATAAATTTTATTGAGGGGTTTGTTATTGAACAGCATTTTATTAATTAAGTAATAAATTTTATTGTAGGGTTTGTTATTGAACAGTATTTTATTAATTAGGTAATAAATTTTATTGAGGGGTTTGTTATTGAACAGCATTTTATTAATTAAGTAATAAATTTTATTGTAGGGTTTGTTATTGAACAGTATTTTATTAATTAGGTAATAAATTTTATTGAGGGGTTTGTTATTGAACAGCATTTTATTAATTAAGTAATAAATTTTATTGTAGGGTTTGTTATTGAACAGTATTTTATTAATTAGGTAATAAATTTTATTGAGGGGTTTGTTATTGAACAGCATTTTATTAATTAAGTAATAAATTTTATTGTAGGGTTTGTTATTGAACAGTATTTTATTAATTAGGTAATAAATTTTATTGAGGGGTTTGTTATTGAACAGCATTTTATTAATTAAGTAATAAATTTTATTGTAGGGTTTGTTATTGAACAGTATTTTATTAATTAGGTAATAAATTTTATTGAGGGGTTTGTTATTGAACAGCATTTTATTAATTAAGTAATAAATTTTATTGTAGGGTTTGTTATTGAACAGTATTTTATTAATTAGGTAATAAATTTTATTGAGGGGTTTGTTATTGAACAGCATTTTATTAATTAAGTAATAAATTTTATTGTAGGGTTTGTTATTGAACAGTATTTTATTAATTAGGTAATAAATTTTATTGAGGGGTTTGTTATTGAACAGCATTTTATTAATTAAGTAATAAATTTTATTGTAGGGTTTGTTATTGAACAGTATTTTATTAATTAGGTAATAAATTTTATTGAGGGGTTTGTTATTGAACAGCATTTTATTAATTAGGTAATAAATTTTATTGAGGGGTTTGTTATTGAACAGCATTTTATTAATTAGGTAATATATTTTATTGAGGGGTTTGTTATTGAACAGCATTTTATTAATTAAATAATTAATTTTATTGAGGGATTTGTTATTTAACAGTATTTTATTAATTAAGTAATAAATTTTATTGAGGGATTTGTTATTTAACAGTATTTTATTAATTAGGTAATATATTTTATTGAGGGGTTTGTTATTGTTATTGTGAATTGTTTTGTTAATTTATTATCAAGCTTGGGTTTTGTTATTGAAAAGGATTTTGTTAATTTAAAACACCTAAATTAGTTTGGAATCTAGAAGCATTTTGTAAAGTTAGGATTACATTTTATTGGCTGATTTTTTATTCAGCAGTATTTTGTTAATTTATTGGAAAACTTGGGGTTGGTTATTGAACAGCATTTTATTAATTAAGTAATAAATTTTATTGAGGGATTTGTTATTTAACAGTATTTTATTAATTAGGTAATATATTTAATTGAGGGGTTTGTTATTGTTATTGTGAATTTTTTTGTTAATTTATTATAAAGCTTTGGGTTTGTTGTTGGCCTGGATTTTATTAATTAAGTAATAGAGATTAACTAGTTTATAATCTAGCAGCATTAAATTAATTTATTCTACTATTTTATTGAAGGATATTTTAGAAAATTGTCTAATTATTTATCAGATTCGCATTCAGTTAGGGATTAATTTATTCAATTAGATCTTAAAATGTCATTCTTTATTTTGGATCATAGACAATCATTTTTTCTATTAAAAGTTTAAATTTTTCATTCATAGATTTTTTTATTTAAAAAGGTTCTATTTAGATTTTATTCATAAAATCAATTATCCTTTATTATTTACTCTTGAATGGATACTTTCCAGTGACCATCAAATGTAATAATATACCAAGCTTTATATAAGTAAATAATTACAGAATAAATATCAACAGCACTTCTCTAATTCTACTATCTCATTTCAGCAAAATTTTTTTTTAGATCTTCATCTTTATTTAAGGAATTTAATTCAGGAGATGCAAATAAGGGAGAACCTTTTTCGGTTATCCTTAGATCATTTTATTTACATATTCTGGCTATTCCATAATCAGCCAATTTATAGTATTTCTTATTGTCATAAAATTAAATTAGAATATTATCTGGTTTAATATCTCTATGAATAATATTCAAATCATAGAGAACTTTATATCCATTAATAAATTATAACAAAAAATCTAATATTTCTTGTTCCGAATATATTTTTTTTTTCTACTGATCTTCATGAAGGGTAGAAAAGCACTATTCCATAATTATATATAAGGATGATTTTTGTTCATTCATTTCTAAATAATGAATTGTAACTAGATTGGGATTTTATTTTTATTAGATCAATTAACAAATCTCATATTCACGATTAATATCTTCTTGATTATCAGAAGTAATGTTTATAATCTATGATTATTAGTAAATGTACTTTGGCACATAATTCATACTTTTGGTTTTCAACTTTCTTTTAACAGCGATAGACTTTGCTAAAAGCACCTTCTCCTATTTGCTAATCTGTATAGATCTCAAATTCTTGGTTTTTTCCAATTTTTAGCATTTTTATAATTATATTAAAATTTTTAATAGAATTTGATTAAAATAAAATATAATCTATTGATTTAATTTAGTAGAACTATCATGGACAAATTCCATTTGTAAGTTACTGAAACTTATCATAACAATATGTTCTCTTATTATTGAGGCTGTCATTAATCAATGTTATAATATTCTTTTTACACTAAAAATATAAATATATATAATACTTTTTCAACACTATCTTGTAATTGGAATCTATCCTTAAATTCTTTAATATCAAATTTAGAAAAACAATGAAAATTACTTTTTTCCATCATCAATTCAATAATCTATAATAATGCAGCACAGCTCTTTCTTAATTCTAAGAATCCAGAAATCATTAATTCTGTAAAATATTGAAATGCTTTAGAACTACTTCCATCCATTAATTCAATATAATCTTATGTCATTTTAAAAGGAGCTGTTTCAAAACCTGCATTTCCTGGAGAAATGGACAAAATAAATCCAAAATCTATATGAATTAAGTGACCTTAATTATCAATTAATATATTTCCATTATGTCTATCCTTTATTTACATAATATATGTTAATAATGAATAGCCTGCTAAGCTTTCAATAAAGTTTCTCTAAGCAAAATGAAAGTCCTCTCCAAAATAGAATTTAAAAAATTCTCTCAAAGACTTAAACTTGTTAGATTTCAAATATTTTTTCATAGCATCCATAGAAATAGTATTTGGTACAAATTCTAAGAGTCCAGAATTTTCAGATGTTACAATTATCTCATATGGCTTTAAATACAAATTTAATCCACTAGCTTTAAATATTGAGTCCAATTTTTGTATTACTTGCATAGCCATAAGTTCTTGTCTTAAATCATCTCCTCCTTTAACCATAATGGCTCTTATTTAATATGATTCAAAATCTTTAAAAGGGGATTACTCTTTAATCAATTCTAATTTATGATCCCAATCTTCTCCCCATGGTCCTTACATTTTTACAAGAATTTTCTTTCTTTCCTTACTTTTTTTTTCTTACTCTAATAAATATTCTTCTTCCTTTAAATTTATTTCTTTTAATAATTAATTATTTTTTGATGGAGTAGGTAAATTTATAGATGTTCTTTATCTTTAATGTCTCTTTAAATCATCACATTCTTTACTTTGTTTTGCTTCACTTAATGTAACAGAAAAGTCAGTTATAGTAGTAGAACTTGACCAAGAATTTCTTCTTTTAATCTTTGGGGTAGTAAATGAAGATTTTTAAATTAAATTCTATTCAAGTTTGTTTGGAGAATCTGGTAAGCTATCTTCATAATTAGTTGATTTATCATATTTATAATATGGAAGTTAGTTGAATATAGAATCCTCCATTTTACATTTAGTATGATATCTTAATTGAGATTCTAGATCATCTGATATTTCTCTATGTAATAAATCATCCTAATCTACATCTGTAGAAACATCTTAGCTTAATCTTGTTTATTTCTATTTTATTTCTTCTTCACTTATTGTTTCAACTAAAATTCTATAAGGAACTCTAGTTTTTGTATTGAAACATGCATAACCTTCTTCACAAATCCTAACAATTAGATTTGATGGGTCTTAACCTTCATATTTTCTTTAAAAAGGTAGCATAGTTCCCCAATAATATGGTATTTCAGAATATTAATTTCTTAATCTTTTTAAAGCTTTATTTGTATTTTTAATTTCTTTAAATAGAAATTGTTTCCTTTCAGAAGGGTCAATTAATTTTAGAGTTAAAGATAACTTTATCAAATTCATTACTAACTTTTCTACTAAACCAATATAACTGGATCTCAATTCTTTTTCTGAGAATTAGTTTTACAATTCTATAAATTTTATTTTTATTTATAAATACATATTTGAAATTCTACATTATTCATGTTTTTTAGTATTTCTTCTTTACTATATTTAATAGCTCCATTTACCATTGATTTTTCTAGTTTCTATAAAGAATATCAACTATAATTTGTTACTCTTTAAAAGAATTCGATTTGTTAACAAGTAATCTCATTCTACTTTTCATTTTCTGAATAAGCATTAATACACCAGCTGATTTTAAGGAAATTTGCTATACTTGTTTAACATAAGGTTTCCAAAAATGTTTCCATGCTTTTACTTCCTTTTTTAATCGCTAAGTAACTAGAAACACTTAAAATTATCAATTACCTGAATTAAGGAATAAAATTTTCAATGAATGTATGAGGCATCTATAATAATTTTTGTGTTAAATATTAATGAGGACCTGGTTCGTTAAATGTTGCCATATAATAATATATCAATAATTCTGGGGTAAATTCTTATGATGAAAAGAAATTAAGAATTTATTTTGTATTTGTTGATCTTATTTGAGAATTCAAAGTTTTAGAATCTATATTCATTTCATTGATTTATCTTGGCAATTTATCCATCAAAATTTATGTTTTATTTAACAAATAAAAAATATTAATAAGCATTTAATGTAAAATAATTGATCAACTCATTACGAAATCTAAATTTCACTTAATTTAATAAAAAAACACATTATTATTTGAATTGCCTTATTTTATTTATTTATATAATAGTTTCTTACATTTAATTGAAAATTGTTTATATTTATATTAGATTTATAAATTAAATAGTTTAATATATATATTAATTTTCATGTATTATGATATCATCAATAAAATATTCTTATTTTTTTCAATGTATAGATTTTTATAGTCTAAAAAAATACAAAAAAATTAACTTAAATCCTTCATTTAATATAATATCAATAGAAAAGATTGAATGATTTAGGAAGATTGGTATATATAAAGATATAATAAGGAACAGTATTTTAGTCACTTGTTTATAAATTTTATTGATTATATTTATAAAAATTTGTCAGTTAATCAATACAAATGCAAAGAAAAATAGAATGCTATAATAAAGGACTATTTAATTCCATGTTATAATTTGAACCTAAATAAAGATCCAATGGTAAGACTAGTTTAGGAACTGGATCTTTTGGAACAGTCAATTTAGTTTAGAATATAAAATCACAATAATTATATGCAATAAAATCCATTTAATAATGCAATATACAAACTCCATATGAATAAGAAGGAGTGGAAAGAGAAATAAAAGTTCATTTAAAGTGTAGACATCCAAATATAGTTAATCTATATGATAGTTTTATTGAACATGGAAATGTATATATGGTATTAGAGTATGCAGAAAATGGAAATTTATATAATTATGTACAAAAAAGAAAGAGATTAGATGAGAAAGAAGCATGTAAATATTTTGTATAGACTTGCAAAGCATTATAATATTTACATGAAATGAATGTTTTTCATAGAGATATAAAAGTATAATATAAAATTTAATGATTAAAGCCTGAGAATTTGTTACTTGATAATAATAATGATATAAAATTATGTGATTTTGGTTGGTGTGCTGAGAATATACATTTAAAAAGAAAGACATTTTGTGGTACTTATGAATACATGGCACCAGAAATTGTATCTGATTTGCCTTATGACTATAAAATAGATATTTGGTCAGTTGGAGTATTATTATATGAATTATTGCATGGATATGCTCCATTTAAAGGAAAAGAATACAAAGAAATATCATAGAATATTAAAAATGGTTTAATTCGATATTCCAGTTCAATTAATTAGGATGCTTAAGAATTAATCAAAAATATATTATAAAAAGATCCTTAATAAAGACTTTGTTTTAAAGATATTTATTAATCTGCATTTGTTTAGAGATGCTTTCCTTAATTATAAACATGTAAATTATATAAATAATATAATAGAATTGAAAATATCAATATCTCCTAAATAAAGTTTATCTGTAGATCAAAATTCAATTTAAAAATATCAATCACCATTAATTAGTCATAAATAATAACCAAATTGTAGATAAAATTAGATTAATACAAATAACAATATGAATAATTCTTCTTCTTTAAGTATTAAATCTCCTAGTATTTCTAAAACAACATTAGATTCTAAAAAATAATCACATATATTTGATGATATAAAAAAGAAAATTATATATGATTAAACTAGTCCATTATAAGATGCTACAAATATGCATAAAAGAAATCAAGTTAGTATGACTAATTTAATTAAAAGTTCAAATACTTAAATTAATTAAATAAAAAGTTCTCAACCAAAATCAATATAATTAAGTAAATATGGTTCTAAATAAAAAAATTGTGATGAGAATGGACCTGTTAAATTATTAGATTAATTTAAATCAATGCCTTCCTTCACAATTGAAGATTAATAATAAACATATGAAGAAGATCATAGATTAAATTTAAAAACAGATCGAGTAAAAGGGTAATATTATATTTTATCATTAATTAGATTTAAGAAAGAGCCATAATAATCATTAGATATTGACAAGATCTTAAAAATGTATCTAAGTATGTGTAGTAGCAGATCATGATTAATTATATATAAAATAATACTACTAATTCATAATTCTGAAATCATAAAAAAAACTTAAAGGATTATTAAAATCTCATTAAACTTGAATATGAAGCATATTTAAACTAATAAATATATATTTAAAGAAAATTCTCTTTGTAATTATACATTAATCAATAAAACTTTTATCAGTTATTTCAATAAAATTAATGCTGGTTAAAAATTTTTAGTTCTCAAAAAACTTTGATTTATCAATTTTAAATTCATATTAATATATTCTTTCAGTAATTTTCATGATGATTAAATAGTAATGTAGTAAAATAAATGATTTAATCTATTGATTGAATAATATCATATAACATTATCAAAAATATAAACAAAAATTTCTAAATATATATAGTTAACAGTAGTAAATTTCTATAAACCTTACGAAATTGTAATTTTGGATTGCATCCTATGGTTATTGATGAAAATTATAAAATAATGAAAAGTTATTTGATTATTGAGAAGAAATTGAATGATTATTAAAGATCATTTTATATTGATAGGATCTATATATTATAAGAGAAATGATATAATATGAAAGTTTACAATAAAGAAATCAAATTATTCGCAAGCATTATTAACATTTCAATATTAATATCAGTAGATAATTATCTATATAAATTATGATAATTATAATTATACTGTTTTAAGCAAATTATGTTGATACATATAAATCTCGTATTATTCCATTAACATTATAATATAAAATATAAATCTTAAATGAATAGTAGTGAAAGTGTGATCGGTGTAAAAACCAGATCCATGAATATATGTGAAAGAGTGCTTCAACCCAGAATAAAAAGAGACTATTGTCATATTACAAAAGAAAAGAAAGCTTAACTGATTCAAACTGTACTGAAACAAAAATGTAAAATAAAAAAAGTAAGATACTTTTCTTATCATAGATAGCAAAGGATTTAAATATTAACTATGCAACTGCAAAAACTATACTTCATTGTTTTAAGAAAAAAAAAATGACTTTTGAATCAGATCCTGAAGTAAAAAGGGTGTCTGTTGGTTCGATCAAGGAAGATTCAAAGCTTTGGGTTTAAATAAAAGTAGCGGATCAGACTATTAAACACTATGAGTATTACGATGAAATCAAGAGAATCTAATGATTTATTTTTAAACCTTCTTCATATTCATAAATCTACACATCATTTATGCTGTCATAATTATATTAGCTTAAATTTGATATATCAGTATTAGAAAAATGAAAAAATAGGCTTATGTAAATAATATTCCAAAGACCAGACTAAAGGAAGAAAATGATTATCCAAATTTCTCTTTAATTAATGTTGGAAGCGACAAGGATTGATAATTTATTAAGAAATGTACAGTATTTACCACATTATACTTTTAAAATACAAGCCGATATAAGCTTATAATTGTTTCTTTAGTTCAGTGATTAAACAATATTATACAATAAAAATTTATTCTTTTTATTCAACCTTTCTTTTGGTAATAATATTTAATAATATATTTAAATCAAGCGTCTCACTCAAAATAATGCAATGGAAACATTTTATGATCACTATCTATCACTAGACAAGTATTAAATAATAATATAAATTTTTTTGATGATAAATTAGAAATTTTAATAATAATCATTAATTATATGTTAATACGTCGACATTGTTATAAAAAATATATTTATTAATGTATAATTATCTATTCATCTCTCTAAAACATATTATTTAATCTTTCTTTGACTCAAATAAGTCCTTTATATTAAGTAGGCTAATAAATGAGCCATATAATTTGAATTTATTAAATGAATTATATAATTGTGTTGTGATCATAAAATAACATTAATTATAAATAAAAATTATTTGAAATTTAAATGTGATTTCTATGAATTTGGGTGGTTGAAATTAGTGATATAAAAGTCAATTTAGATTGATATAATTTAATATCAATATATTACTTATTTTAAATTAAATCTGACGGAACTGTCTATTTTAATTTAATCTATATCCATTAATAATTTACAAAACAGGCATCTTGAATCAATATGGTTTTGATTAGTACTATTTAACTTGTACATTAATGATAACAAGATGCAATTCCAATTGTTCTATATATAATTCGTAATACAATTGATTATACTGATTATTAATTAAATTTATGTAATTTAAAATCATGTAAATAATAATATAAAATTTTAAATATAAATCAAAATTAACGATTAAATACAGAATCCATTATAAAAAAATCCCTAAGCGACCTTTTTATTTATGAATTTCGTTAACAGCAACTAATAATAGTAATATTGATTTGGAATATAATTACAAAATATCCAATCTTATACTTTTTAATTTTATTACAACATTATAATAAGCCAAAAAATAAAATAATAATTAAACCTCAAAGCGATCTTGAATAATCCTTACCATAATTTTCAAAATTCAATTATTTTTGATTATACTATATAAAGCAAAGCTGGGAGATGCAATTATAAATATAACCATAATTTAAATAAAGTTAAGATCCTTAGAATACTAATATTCTATTTATATTACCTATATTAGTAATTCTAATTTGTAAAAGTGCAGAATGTAAGAATTGATATGAAAAGTTTACTATATTATTAATAATGTTCTTTATCAATTTTTATAATAATTATTTTATTTAATAGTTTAATCAAACTTTGCTAATGCTAATTTACTTTTCATTAAAGCTTCTTCAATCCTATTTTCTAATAAACTCCTTTAACTTTTATTATTACTAAAATAAGATTATTATGAAAAATAACTAGTATCACTTATTTTATCTTTATTACATTAAGATTAATTAGGTATTTTAGGTTTAGAAGTACTATTTAATTAATTTTTAGACGCTGATATTGAAGGAGGCTTTCTTTAAGTTTGAATAGGAGATGAATTAGGAGTCTTAAATTATAAAAATGATTTTGATTTTTATTGCTGATTAATATTATTTTCTTACGGAATTACTTAATTATAGTTGAATAATTAATTATTTCTACTGATTTCCTAATTTTCAGATTTTAAAGTTATAGAACCAATTAAGGAGATTTATTTTTAATACTATGAAATTTTATTTTATTATATATTTAGTTTTTGTTTTCTATTTGATTAATTATATGATGATTATGATTAATACTCATACTCATCATTTTCATGATTATTTTGAGTGGGATTAAATTATTAAATTTTTAAAAGATCATCATTTTTTTGATATTTTGAAATTATAATTAATAAGGTTTCTAAAGTACCTCTTTGAGATGGATTAATTTAAAGCATTTAAATAAGTAAATTCTTAAAGTTATCAGTGTATTATAATTCTGAGATTCTTAAATATAGATCTTATTCATTTAACTTCCATTCAATTTTATTGAAGAGTGTTGAAGGATCATTCAGAGATGCTGCCCATAAAATAGTTAAGCCAGATTAAAATATTTAGCATAATTCAGGATTAAGATTATTGATAGATGATTAATTTTTAAAAAGTGCTAATTCTTCTGGAGAAATATGAAAATCTTCATTAAATTAATTAAACAATTATTAGAATGATGTCATATGGTTATCAAAAAGTGAATTGAATTTCAGATATCCTTAATTTGAAATATATAGATTTCTAATTTCCATAGGAAAAATACCATTAATTTTTAAATAATTTAAGACATCAATAATCTAATATGCAAGAGACCAAAGTTAGGATTCAGTAAAATATTAATGTTTCTTTTATCTATTAGTTATGATAGTTTTAAGATTATTATTAATGTATTCATAAACAATGTATAATTTTGTAAAGGTAGAACATACTTCCTTGTAATAAATTAATAATTTACTTTATATGTTGAAGCAGAATAATAATAAACTTTTAATAAATTAGGATGTTCAAGTTTCTTAAATGAATTAGTAGGTTAAGTTTGTATTTTTTCAATTACACATATTAATTCACCTGTCTCATTTTTCTAATACAATTTAATTTCTCCAAATCTAGGATCTATGATTTCTTGTAAATATTAATATTGTGAGAAATTGAATTGAAAAGTAGAACTGCTTGTTCCCATATTATGTTGTTAATTTTTATATGATAAATTTCAAATTGTAATTTATGTTAAAACAATTACATTTGCTAAACACTCTTCATTTTTAGAGAAGGTGTGTCTTTCTCCTTCATAATTTGGATGATCATAGATGGTAAGGGTTGTTCCAAAAGGAATCTTCAAAGATTTAATTTCATAAGGGAAATCTCTAAAATATGATAAAATTAAATTACTTCATTTATCCAAGATCATTACAAGCTTTCATTGATTCTCCTTTGTAATAACATTAACTATATAATTCAATACATTAGGATGTTTATCTAATGTATATTTAATATAATACTCTTCATTAATATCATTTATATTATTAGGATCTTCAGAAGTAATTTCTTATTAAATATTAACTTATTTAGGACCTTAATTATCTGATTAGATTTAAGTTTATTCTTATACAACAATAATTTAAGCTTCTGGTTGATTTTCATCTTTTTGTAATTGATTATCTACAATAATAGTTTAATCTTATTAATTAGTCTATTCTATTTGATTTGGTTACACTTCATATTCAGGTTAAGTAAATTATTGTGTAATTTAATCTTAATCCATATTAGTGAGATCTGGAACTTCATTTGTTTAGGCAATTAATTATTAAGAGACATTATCACTTACTTGTAATGTATCATTATTCTCAATTGAATCATCATAATAATTATCTTCATTATTAATTGTTTCTTGAATATTTTATTAATCTGATAATTCTTATTAGATTTCATCATTCACATTCATAGTATCTGATGCATAATTTTCATTATCATCATTAATATTTTATTAAGTATCTATTACTTAATGATTTTCATCAATAATATTATTATTATCCAATTACCCAATCAATTTCAAATCCTCTACTATATTTTAACTAGCATCTTCAATAATTTCATTATTATTTTCTTCATCTTCAAACTTTTATTATTATATTCAATATTAATACATAAGCACTATTCAATGGTGTTTCATCATCTAAAGATTATTGTACATCTTATTTTTCAGATGCCTCTAATTAATTAATCATCAAATCACTCTCTTATGCTGCCAAAATTTGAACATCCTTACTTTGGCTCTTCTCCTCAAAAACTTATAAATTCTCTGATGTATATTAAACATCATTTTCTTGACTACTATTCATTTAATCAAATACCCGTCAAGTTACAAAAATTTCTTATGTACTGGAATACACTAACATAATACTAAACAAACTAGCAAAACAGCAGCAACTCTCATTTAATTTAAAACGGATTTAAATAAATTATGTATATTATATAAAATATATATATATATATATAAACATTCTTTCTTATTCCTGTCTTCTATATAACCAATACAATTTTGTTAAGTTTCATTCTAAATCATTTAAAACTAAATATTTATTTCTTTACTATTCTCATAAATAGATATAATATATTTTGCATGACACATACTATATTTATGTACTATTAAGAATTAATTTAGTTTATGAAAATGATTAATAAGAGTTGTAAAATCTAATTTATAACTAGAATTATCTGATAATCTTCTTAGTAAAATTAAATTAATAGATAAGGATACAAATTAATGAAATAATAAATTTATATTTAAATCTTTTCTTTAATATCTTCATTATAGTATTTAATATAAACTTTTTAGTGGGTCTCATTAAACTATTTTAAAGTACTAAGTTCTAAATTTTAAGAATCATATTTTTTTGGCAATCTTGGATTGTTCAGGATCTATATACTACTGTAAAATATCAATTTTATGTTATAGATTGGCCGCATATTGCCAAATACTATAATAAAATAAGGCTTAATATAAAACAGCATTTTGTTATTACATTTGATAATATAAAGTAAAAACTTTTTCCATAAGCTGACTTCTTAAAGTTAACAAATTTTTACATATTCAAAAACTAAAAAAAATGTTACTGTTCTATTTATCTCAGATGGATAAGAGGACTGTTATAGAGAACTTATCGAATAAACAAGGCCATCTGTAGAAAATATAAATTTTATTTGCATTGCTGTTGGCAATTAATTTCCTACATTTATTTCAATGAATTTAAGAGAAATGTACCATTATGGAGATAATTCTATTCCTCCGTTATTTCTAGTTGATCGCATTTCAATTTAAAATTTGATATCTAATTATTCATTTCTTCCTTAAGTATCTGCAACTAAATTTATGAAACGTCAAACTTCAATAAAGATTTTGCCTTGTTATTAATTTCCTTGTGATTAGATGACAGAAATAGTGTAACCAAATTCTTGGGTTACAAGTTATTCAGATGAGTTGGTAACAGAAAATGGAAAATTAGAAAAAATAGAAGTAAAAGGAGTAAAAATTGAATTAATTGCAGGCTTTTAGTTATAAAATTTATGATAATTGTCTTTAAGAAAAAAGTAGCAAAGGAAGCTTAAATAAGCATTTTTAGAGAGAGTTTAGGGATAGTAATAAGCATTTAACTAAATACTTTAAAAACTTAGGTTTTTGACTTCTTCTTAAACGTTATAAGAATTAGATGAAGCAACAGCTGCATAAAGACTTAAAATTGGTACTTAAATTGGAAGATATTACGTAAAGCTTTGAAATGTGCAGGTTTATCTGTAAAAGCATTTTAATAATCAAAATAAAATTTCTAACTATGATTGAAAATACTAAATAATTTCCCAGTTTCAATAATTTCGTTATAAAATTAAGTTGATATTTTAACAGATCCAGAATTAAATTAAGAAATCAAAAATTGTATGACATAATATCATCTTGTATCATTTCTCCCTATAGTTGGACATGCTTTATATGTAAAAAGATCAGATGAATCAAGAATAAATCCATATACTGTTGAAGTATTTAATATTGGCAGGATTAATAAATTTACTGATTCATTCGCAATTATTGATACTCCAAATCAAGAGGTTGAATTTAGTATTGGAAATAATGAAAAGGAGAAATTTAATTTTTGGTTCCATTACATGATAATAAAGTTCTTATTCCTTTTCTAAGATCAAGCATATTCCATACTTTGATGACTTTTGTATTAATCGAAAATGCTGATACTTGTTTTGAAAATGCTTATGCTGAATTATTAAGCAATACTTTATTGTATATGATTTGTTAAAATGAAAGCTAATGGAATATGAAATGATTGAATTAATTAATTCTAGTTTTAGGTTGGCTTATGCAGATTCATACAAAATTAAATAAAACATGAAATATTTATAATCAGATCCTATTGGATGAAAATTAATCAACAAAAACTTAATGTGAAGATTTATCAAAAACTATTTTGAAGTTAAATTAGATCATAAATACATTCAAATAAGATTGGTTTAAAATTATAATATAAAGATTAGTTATTGAAAATAATTTACTTAAGAGGAATTAGATATTATAGAAAGATCTTTAATTTTGAGATAAACAACAATAGAAGAAAAAATAAAAAATTTAGAGATTTACATCAGTACTTTATTATCTAAGATGGAATTCAATAAACCTTTATTTTTATAAATAATGAATGAACAGAAATACAATATAAAGACGTTATAATCAATTTATAAAGAATTACTTGAAGAACTATTTATTATAGCTACTTATCATTCAAGAATTGAAAAGTCTTATGATAGAACTAAAAAGGAAGTTGAATATAATTTGAATAAGATTTTTAATGAATTATTTATTGAAATTGAATTAATCTAAAAATAAAAGTAAATATCTCAAACTGTATTTGATTAATTAACAAATATTTTAAAAACTTCAAATATAAAGAAAAAAAGAAATATGTATCTTTAAGAGTGGAAAGGAGTAGAATGAGAAAAAATAAGCGTTTTAATATAAAGAACCATGAAATATATTAAAATTTCTTTTTTTTATGTTAAATTATAATCTATTTATTGAAATTAAGCTGCTTCTATTTAATTTTTATTTAATTATTTACCGATTCAACCATATTATAATTTTAATAATATATTCATAAACCATTTTATTTACCATAATTACAAGTACCAATCATCAAAATTTTCTATTTATAAAAAATACTAAAAACTTGATAGTTTGCACCATCATTAAATGTTAATATACAATGACTATATTTTTACCAAATTTATAATCTTTTTGATATCTTTTATTTATCTGGCTATATCTTTTCACCGAATACATTTTTTTTCAATTCATCTACTAGCTTCCATAATTAGTTCTATTTTATAATTACATCAATTAGCACATTTACATTAATATATTAATATATTTATGATAATCATCTATTTCTTGCATCAATTATTTTATTTCCCTTTCTTCTTATTTATTTCTTTCTTGCTCTTTTTTTCTTTTTGCTTAAACAATCTAGTACATCAATTGATTATTCACAAGCATGTTTAATTTCAATTGTTTTTGTCACTTGTATGAAGATCTCATTTTAAGGTATCTAATATCTATGAATTCGAAGAGCCTAGATATAAACAGAAGGTGAATATATTGCTGATGGATTTAATCCTCTAGGAACACTGTTCATTATTCTACATATTTATGAATACAATCTTGACATTTTTTTAATATATATATATTAATAATATTAAATAAAGAATGAAGAACAACATAATGTTTGGAGGAATCTCTTTTAATTGTGGTGATCGTTATAAACTAATAAAATTAGTAGGAACAGGTGCCTATGGTTCAGTAGTCTTGGCATATGACTTGTAAAACAAAAATCATAAAGTTTGATTTTATTGTTATTTATAATTAGGTAGCAATAAAAAAATTAAATTTAATAGAAGATGCTATTGATGCAAAGAGAATCTTAAGAGAAATTAAAATATAAAGATCAATGAATCATCATAATATTCTCAAAATTTATGATATAATATATGATTAGAAACCTGAATGTTTTGGTGATATTTATATTGTAAGTCCTTATTTTCCAGCAGATTTACATAAAATAATTAAAAGCAATTAAGATTTATCAGTTGAACATGTTTAATTTATTATGTATCAATTATGCAAAGGACTTTATTATTTGCATTCTTCAGGTTCTATTCATAGAGATATAAAACCTGGAAATATATTGGCAAATGAGAATTGTGAAGTTTGTTATTGTGATTTTGGATTTGCTAGAAAAAAAGATGAAATATAAGATTAAATAGATGAAAATATGACTGAATATGTTGTTACTCGACATTATAGAGCTCCTGAAATTATGTTATCAAGTTAATAATACTCTAAACCAGTTGATATATGGTCATTAGGATGCACATTTGCAGAATTAATGACAAGAAAAATATTATTCAATGCTCCTAATTATATTTAAATGATTAAGATGTTTTTTGATATATTAGGTAGACCATCAGATGAAGAACTCAATTAATTAGTAACAAATGAAAATGCTTTGTCTTTCATAGAGACTCTACCACATAAACCAAAATAACCAGCCTCAAAGAGTGTTCCATTTCCTGATGCTAAAGCCAGAGATTTATTGGATTAGATGTTAGAAATGAATCCAAAAAATAGAATTACTGCTTAAAAAGTTTACATTATCTTACATAAGTGTTTAGAACATCCCTTCTTTGAGTCTATAAGAAATTAAGCCGAAGAGATAACATTTACAGGGAATCTTGAGTGCGATTTTGAAAATGATGATGCCATTACATTAGAGTCATTGAAGTATCTAATTCTAATTGAGATTAATCACATTAAAGCCAATAATAAGGAAGAATTGATTAATATAGAAGAAGAAATGATAAGAATAGGAATCATTAAATAAAATCATTAATGATAATATAAAGAAATAATAATATAATTATTTAATGAAACTAATCGAAATTGTGTAATTGATTGAAAAATTCTAAAAGGAATAAAACTATCATGAAATTGTATACATTATATCTAAAAGGTAAGCATTCTTTTATTAATTTATTAGTTGGATTTAAACATTTAAAGATTCTGTTAAATTTAATTGCAAAAATAACATACCTATGAAGCCTATAAATCATGATATTGTAGATGAAACTAAATCTAATGTTATTTAGTAATATATCCAAAATTTATTAGATATTAAGATGAAATATACAATTCATTTTTAAAAGATAATTTAAAACTAAATGTTGATTACATTTATATCAATCAATAAATATGGTCACATCTAAATGTAAACTTATTAATAATTTGAAAGACTCTTTATGATGGACACTGTATTAAAAGATAATTGAGAAATTCAAATTAAATCAATGAATTCATTATATATAATTTCATTCCTGTATATCAATCCTAATAATACTTTATTGAAGGAATATAATAATTTGATTCATCTTGGAATATTTCCTAAATAATTTCACATTTAGAAAATGCATTATAAAATTAATTATCATTTTAAATTCCAAAAAGTAATTTCATATAATTGTATACTCTCAAAAATGAGAATTAAATGAATTTTGTTTAAATTGTATAAGAAATTAAAGAAAAAAAAATTGAAGTAATAAAAATAGAAGAATTAAATTAAATGCGTGATAAAAAATATATCATAATGGATATTAAATAATTAAAAAAAGATTTCTATTTTGAAAAAACTTAACAGATAAATCATGATAAAAGTGAAACTATATTAAATTAAGAATATATTGAATATTGTAGACAAGGTTTAACTATATTTGAAGATTAATAAACTTTATTAAGTTGCATGCTTAAATGCTATGAAATGATAGATGCAATTAGAAATGAAATCTTATATAATTCCACATAGAAATATTAGAATTTAAAATAAATACTTCAAGAATCATATTATGGATTTAATGAATATATTTATTATGATTTGTTAGATTATGAGTTTTTTGAGGAAAAATAAGTTGTGATTACTAAATCAAGATATGATGCAATATATATTTATAACAATGAAAATAGAGTCATTATAAATAATTAGAAGAATATTCGATAGTTAGTTGAATCTCTATTGAGTCATCCTTAATTACAATGTGATTTTAATTCAGTTTTATTTGAGTGTAGTAATGAATATTATACTGAATATATTGATTTTACAAAACCTGCATATAGTTTAAAAGAGGGATATAAATTTTAATTGAGAAAGTTAATGGGATAAGAACATAATATTAATAATGAAGATAAAATAGAAATTAGAGTACATTAATGTACATATGAAAACATAGGTTATCAATAATATAAACCTTTTGCTCCAATATTAAAATGTTTTATAAGTTAATATGCTAAATTTTATGATTTGCATATGTTAATAGCTAATTTATTTGAAGAAATAAATTATGAGAATTATAAAGAATTTAGATTGAATAAGAAATATAGTTTATATTTTTAAACAGATTAATAAGGATTAAAGAAATGTACATTTTGTTAATAGAAATTATGTAATAATTGTTAAGTACCTTTTAATGATAAATGTTTAAATTTTGGTAGTAGAGTGATAAACATATATGTTATATATGATGAAATACTAAATGTTGTTTCTAATTATTAACCATAATATTTTGATAATTATTATTTAAGAGAATATTTTGAAGTGGATTGGGCAAAAGATAAAATTTTAATTTTGAACATAAATTAAGAATAAATAAAACCTTATAATATTAAATATTATTTTGATTCACGTATGTACTTATATAATATTTCAGATCTTTATTAGTTATAAGGAATAATTGAAAAGGTATCATAAAATGAATATTAATGTTATTGTCTGAAATAGTAATAATGGTATAAATTTACAAAAAATAAATTCTAAAAGATAGATAATATAAATGATGATTTAAATGTAGTTAAATTGTTCTATATAAGAAAATGATATTATTATTGATTTTATAATATTTAATTAAAAATTATATAAATAAAAAATGAGAAATAGAAATGAATTTGGATAATCATTTAAAATGAATGCTCAAATACCAAAAATAGATAAAACTCCAGTTAAAAGAAGAAGTTGTGAATGTTTAGAATGTGGTTTAATAAATAAAAAAATGAAATATATTGGATCTATTATCTAATAATTTCAACCATATTTCAATTTAGCTTATAAATTGTTTGAAAATGAAAGAAAGAATCAAGAAAAATAAACTAAAATTCAACAATAGAAATAATTAAGATTAAGAAATAAGAGACATAATCATAATAAAGATATGTTGAAGAAAGCAGTAAATGTAATTACATTTTAAGAAACATTTACAAATAATAACAGAAAAAGAAATGTAGAATTACCTCCTATTAATATGTGCTCTTTAAAAGAGATTAAAAATAATTAATCCAGTAATTTGTTATCGGTTGTACCTTAAAGAAAAATGTGGGATAAACGATAAACTACTATAAAGTTTCAATACAAATCAAATATTGGTCATAATTAAAAATGTTACTTACCTGCTACTCCATTAGATTCTCATCTTGTTTTTAGAATAAACAAAGTCATTTATTAATAATATAATTTAAAACATCAGTAAGGAACTCTTGATGATTTTCATTTTAAATTAAGAATCAATGTTTTTGATGAAAAGTTGGAACCTTTACCTATAAAACATTAATTATTGGTTCCACCTATTAGATAAGAAGAAGACTATGATGAAGACGAATCTATAATAGAATCTGTTCAACAAATGCCAATTAAACATAAACCTAATAGAGAAGAATAATATAAATAAATCTTGAAATATAATAAAAGAAGTTTTGCTAATTTGGTTGAATAGGCCTAACTTACTGAAAGAAAAGCTATTTAAAATTTAATTAAAATTAGTATAGATATACATCTTAAATAGGTAACAGTCATAAAATATTACCATTAATATTTGATTAATAACCGTTACCAATTTATATGATTCATAGTAATTATTTGGATGCTCAAAAGACATCCAAAAGTATAAAACTTATTAAATTAGAAAAGTCATAACCAGCAATCTTGAAGTAATGAAATGTCTATTTTTAGATCATAAAGTTAACATATTAAAATAGTAGCAACAAATAAACATAAAAAAAATTAAACTGCTGGTTCAGTATTGTTAAGAATATGAAATTCTTGTTAAATATTTCATAAATAGTTGATTAAATGAATTATTAATTTCTAGATCTATTAATTTATCATAATATTTTTTAAAAGTTTAAAATACATTCATTATTCAAAAACATTAATTGCAGAACGAGAAAATTGAATTTTTTCATCTTTAAATTTAGCATCGAATCCTTACAAATTTAAGTATTTTTATTCCAAAGTTGGATGATCATTCATATTTTCTTCAATGTCATCAAAATCAATAGTTTGGTATAATTTATTAAAATCTATTTGAGGTTAACTTGCAGCAATTTTTATTTGAGTTTATGATGATTATTTGAATTATACAGCATCCTGAAAAGAAGGTACATATTTAACTATATTTGAAGAAGAAGATCCTTAATTAATAATAAATATAAAATACCAAGATTTGAAACATTAGATTATTTTTTAGTATGGGATCTTTAAACTCCATCATTTCCAGGTACAAGCAAGAATGAACCTTAAATTTTAACTTCTAATTGAGATTCTTTATTTTATTATTTATCAGACCATTCAAATAGATTATCATATGTAATTGAATTACTACATTTTTTCATTAATGTCTTAAGCATATCATAATCAGGTTAATCTTCAAATTTTAAGATTTTTAAATATCTAATATATTTTAATTACATAAGAATACTTGAGATAATCAGCAAATTGTATTGGTAATTCTTTACATAAAGTATCAATTGATGTACTCATTTTAACTTCTCCAACTGCAACAGTTCTATCTTTATCACCTATATTTTATAGATTCTACCATGGTAATTTACTTAAAATTATAATAATAAGTTACCCTAAAATTAAGTAGATAATGACATACATCATTGATTCTAGATCATCCTTTCTACTAATTTCAAATCCTTTATGAGCAGCAATAGATGCATATCTAGTAGTTCCAATAAATGATTTTTTATCTTTAAACGGACTCTTATGATATCATAATCTTACATATGTCTTCCTTTATCTAGAATTGATTTTGAAACACCAAAATCAACTAAATAAATTATAGATGTATTTTATTTGCCCATCATTATATTTTCTGGTTTCAAATCTCTATGTACTATTCCTCTTGAATGTACTTATTTAAATATAGTCAATAATTAATCCAATAATTACAATCCTGTTTTTAATGATAATTATTTATATGTTCTACTATAATATCCTAGATCTTTTCCCAACAATTCAACAACCATTACATTATAATTTTATTCTGCTCCAAACCAATACAATTTTGTTATTCCTTATATTCCTTATAATTTAGTCAGTAAATAAACTTCTCTATCCAATGTTTCATGTTCTCCTTTTTCTAATTTGACTGCCACTTCTTCTCTAGTTATTTTATGTATTGCCAAATAAACAACACCAAAAGATCCTGAGCTAAGTTGATTCTTGATTATATATTTATTATCAAAAATTTTAGGTTCAAGATAACTTCTGGGTAATTTTTTCATATTTAATAATTATATTCAGGAATCAAATAAACAAGAATGTGATGTTCTGATGATTTTAATTCAAATAAGAAATGTTCAGGATCTGCAAAATCATACTCTTATTCACTATGTAAACTACTTAATAAAACACACCAACAACGTCCTGTAAATTTAATTTCATTATCTTTACCATATTTTTATTCTAAATGATAGCGTATATAATCTGCTTTATTTTAATATTGCTTCTAACTTAAAGCTCTTTTATATAGATCTACAATATCAGTCTTCATTCCTTATGTAATATTCAATCCTTATCTAACTATATCAAATCTTTGAGTATTCATATGTTTAAATTATTTTCTGTTAAAATAAATTATATTCAATTCAAAACCATTTGTACATTTATTTTTTTATATTTAATCATTAAATCTCCCTATTCTACAATTTTCATATAACTATCAAATAAATTCCTATCAAAAAAATGAATAATAATCAAAATAAAATTTAATTCATTTTTATAATCTATTTTTCCAATATGCTACCTAAAAATCCTGTTAGTGATATTAGTACTCTTGTATTAAAACAATATAAGAAAATGTATGAAGAAATCTGTTTAAGATTCAAATTTGAGAAAGAAGCATCATCTAAAGAACTTGAAATATGGAAAGATAAATACGAAACTCTATAAAAAAGATGGGATACTCTTAATTAATTAAAAGAGAAATAAGATGCAAAAATAAAATAAGATTTCAATGATACTAAAACTTTAAATTAAGTACCAAAAACATCTGGACATTAATAAACTACATTATTGCCAAATACAGAAAAATAATAATATTAGATCTTAATTTAATAACTTAATGATTAAATAGCTAAATAAAAAAAATAGATATAAGATTTAAGTGATAAAAATGAAAAGCATTCAATTGATAATAAAAAACTAGAAATTGAAAATAAAAAATATTCTGAATAATTAAATTAAATTAGAAAAACATCACATCATAAATTTAATGATTAATAAATGCTATAATATGAAGACAATATATAAAAATTTATATAAACTATTGATGAAATGAAAAATGATAAAAATAATTATGAAAAATAACTTGAAAAATTAATTAAAGAAAACTAAATATTGCATTAAACTAATGATGATTTAAAAAAATTAATTCATGAACATGATAAAGGTTAATAATAAAAAAATTAATTTTAATTATAAGTAACAGAATTAGGATTAAAAAATAATCAATTAGAAAAATTAGTTAAAGATTTAGAAAAATAATAATAACATTAATAAGATATATCTAAATAAAATGCTAAATAAATGGAAGATAAATAATAAGAAATTTAATTACTATAAAATAAAATATAAGAATATTAAAAAGAACTATCAAATCTAAATTAACTTTAAGTTGTTTATAATGAATAATAATAATAACTTTAATAATTGGCTCAAGTAATATAAGAATTAGAAGGAAAACTATAAGAATCTACTAATCCATAATCAAATGAATCAGATATTAAATAAATGACATCAAAATATGATGAATTATATTTATAATATACTGATCTATAAACTTAAGATATTATGAAATAAGAATGGCTTAATTTATAAAAATCTTAACTTGAAGATCTTAAATAAGAAAATGATTAATTAAATTAAAAAATTGAAGAATTGTAAAAATTAAATAATGTTTTAATTGGTTAAATTGAAATATAAAAAGATGAAACCAAATTATCATTTAGTTAATTATAAGATTAAATTAATTCATATGAACATATTGTTTCTGATAAAAATGAAGAAATTCATAAATTAAAATTAGAATTAACAAAATAAAAATGTAATTTAAAAAATGATGATTATGAAGACAAAATTAAATAATTATAGACATAATATGAAAAATTAGAATCTGAATCTAAAATGAAAATAGAATGGATGGAAATTTAAAACAATGAACTTGAAGAATCTATTAATGAATATGAAAAAAAAATATAAAATTTAGTTGAATAATTAAATTAATTAAACAAAAATAATCCAGAAGATTAAAATCAAAAGATTATTGAACTTAAGGAAAATTTATAATAATATGAACTTATAGTTAACAATAAAAATATTGAAATCGATGAATTAAAGTAATAAATTAAAGAAATAAATTAAAAATAAAATGATGAAGACTTTTAAAAGAAATATTTAAATTTAAAAACATAATTTGAAAAATTAGAAACAGAAAATCATATGAAATAATAATGGTAGAATATTTAAGAAGAAGAATAATAAGAATAAATTAATGAATTAAATACATAAATTATTGAATTAAATGATTAATTGTCTTAAACATAAAATTTAAACTAAAAATGTATTAATATTATTTTTATTTTTAGTGTAAAATGATTTATAATAAGAAATTGATAAAAATGAATAATTATCCAAATAATCTTAATAACATTTTTTGGAAATATAAAATTCATTTAATTCTGGAAATATTAAAAATGCATTAAGAAGATCAATTAAAAAAGAAGAATCATTTGAAGATGAAGTAAAAACAAAAAAAAATGCAGATGAAAAATTCATTAATGATCTCAAAGAAAAGATTCAAACTTTGAATGAAGAATTAGGGGAATATGAAGAGAATTAAACTAATTTACAATAATAAATAGGAGAATTAACTGAATAGAAAAATAAAATTTAATTGTAATATGAAGAAATGTATAATTATTACTCAAGTATCATAAATTATTATATTATATTATAGAAGCTTATGATTAAATATAAAATTTCATAACTTAAGTTGAAGATCTTAATAAAATTATTTTAGATAAAGAAAATTAATTAGTAGAAAATTAATATTAGATACAATAACTTGAAGATTAATTATTATAAATGAATGAAATAAATAAAGATGCTTATACTGAAAATTAAGATATTAATTAGATGAAAGCATTTTATGAATAAAAATTTTTAGAATAAGAAACCATCATTTAAAATTTATAATAATAATTAGAATAAACTTCAGATAAAGAATACTATTAAAAGATAAACTAAATATTACATGAAAATGAGGAACTTAAATAATTAAGAAGTGAAAATTAAGAAGAATTAAGTAAAAAAGATTAATTGATAGAGGAATTATAAATGTAAATGTTATCATAGTCATAGGTAACAGGAAGTTCAGGTATTTAAAATTAATATATATTTATATATAGATTTATAAGAAAGAAAAAGAAGATAAGAATTATTAGATAAAGTAAAAGATGACAAATCTGAAAAGTCTGGATCTTCTAATGAATAATTGGTTAAGAAAATTGGGAAATAAACTTCAGGTGCAAGTGCAAAGTTATCTCTAAAATTAGATTATACGCAAGATGTATCTAAATATTCAAAACCTAAAAGTGCTACGAGTTTAGATTTTCAAGAGTGATTTTTTTCATTTTTATTTAAAAATAAATGTATGATCATGCCTTCTTAGGTTTGAATGCAATTGCTGCTAATTTTAATACTCCAAATAAAATGGCTGCTTTAAAAACTTCTTTCAATTGCTTGCTTCTAAATTCTCTTGTTGCTTACTATTTCTCTTATTAGGGTTGAAGGAAGAACATATTAATTATATATTTAATTTTATTTATGATAAGTAATTAATATGATGAACTTATGAATAGTGAATTTGATGTAAGAGAATTCATACTTAAGAATTTTGTTTAAGCTAATTTTGAGATCAATTATAAAAAGATAGAATAATCAATGCCATAAATTGCTTAAATATAATCATAAACATGTGAAGATATTGCTAGTTCTGTAGATAATAATTTAGAAGATTATGTTGAAATAAGTACATAATTAACATCATTGTAATCTTAATTGGATAATTTAACACTCTAATTTAGCAATATAACTGATATTATTGTATTAACTTAAGATAATTTGTAATAAAGAATATATCAAATTAATGTCATTGTTGAAAATCTTAAATTAATATAAAATCTTCAATATAGTATGAAAGATTTAAGGAAATTAATTAATATATTAGAGAGTGTAGATTTAAGTAAAGGAATGTCTAATTATAATCTACTTGAAACTAGTGAATTAATTGTAAAATCTAGATAATTATACACTGAATTAGATAAATCACCTCATTGTAGATAATTAATGTAGTAATTTGATTTATTGTAAATAATTCAATAGAATTAATGTTAATTTTAAAATTTATTAGAAAAGGAATTTGTGAATTGTTTATAAAATTTTAATTCAATTAAATTTGCTTGTATTCTAAGATCATTTCAAAAAATGTAATTAAATAAGACACCTGAGAAATTACTTGTATAATTTTTATTAAAACCAGCATTTGATTTAGCCTTTTCTAAATTAAATAAAAATTTATTAACAAAAGATACATCAAATTTAGAGTAGTTTTTGTAATCAGTATTATAAATATATGAAAATAATATAGAAATAGCTAAAGTAGAAACTGAAACATTTTCATTTAAAAATATATTAGTAGAATTACTCTATATATATTTATCTACTAAAGAATGTGTTAATATATATTCTTTAGGTGTTTTAGATTTATTTTAATAAAATTATTAGAATATTTAAAATGTGAAATAAACTCTTAAAGTAAATTTTGAGAAGGGATCAGAAGTTGAAAAAAAGTTTATGGAGAAATGGAATTTATAAACATATTTTTCAATGAGATAAGCAGAAATTATTAAAAAATTAGAATAAGAACTTTAAAATTAATTAACTAATAATGAATACAATTTTCATTTAGTTTTATAAAATATTATAGAGAATTGTTTTTCTTAAAAAGTTTATATTTCCTTATTAAAATAGAAATTTAATACATTAGCTATATAAATTATAACAAGATTTTGCAATTTCATAAAAACAAATAAGAATTAAATTTAAATTGAAAAGATTCCATTTTTAATAAATAATCTATCAAAAATAAATTTATCATAATTACAATAAGACATTATAGTTTTATAATTAGATAAAATAAAATTAGTAATATCAGAATTAATAGATATTGCAATAGTATAGATAAAGATAGAATGTTAATCAAATTTAGAACCATTTAGTGGTATACCAGCTAAATTTAGAATGACAAATAGAGATATGCCAAATTAGCCTTCAAATTTTTGTATCAACATTTTTAAACCACTTTAGAATTATTTATTAAAATTAGATGATGATTCCATAAAGAAATTAACATGTGAGAAAGTATAATGATATTATAAATTTAAGGTATGTAATACTACTTTAGAAAGATTTTAAGTAATTAAAAAATAAGCACTTGATACATGTGATAAAAATGAAGAATTAATGGCTAAAATGGGAGTAAAAAAAAATGATGCTTTAGATAATCAAAAAATAAGAATGTAATTTTAATTGGATGAAGAAGAAATAAAAAATATTATGATAACTAAATTATATTAATGATATTTTAACAATTAAAATTAGAATTCTATGGTTGTCTAAAACCAAATATGTAATAAGAATTAATAAAGAGACCTAATTATTTGGAACAAAAATAACAAAAGAATTATAGCTTTGATTTGAATACTGAAAGATTTCCTATTCAATTGTAATAGTTAAAAAAATAACAAAATTAAGAATGGAGACTTAAAACTGCAAATGCAAAATCTAATAAACTTTAATATGAAATAATGTTAAGTTCATACAGAAATAATATATCTAAATCTGTAAATATTTAAACAACATCATAACATAAAAGTACAATAAAAAAGATGATAGAAAATGAAAAGTATAAGAGTTATATTAATAACTAAGTAATATAATATCTATTAAAATTATAGAATTTAACATTTTTAAACCCTGGATATTTAAAGAAAAATCAAAAAATAGATTTAATGTTTAATAGAAGAAACAAAATGAATAAAGTTTGAATTTATTCAAAATTATACTTTTATCATATTATTTTTTTTTGGATAAGAAGATTATTCTACTGTATGATTTTACAATTTGGAGATACTACTAAATTAATAACATTATTTTTGGCAATTGATCTTTAAGTATTTATAATTGGACCTCTATGATAAATGTCTTCTTTATTTCTTATAGTTTCTGATTCTTATACTGAATTATTATTTATTCTATTTAATCCTAAGAAAAAAGAAGAATCTGTTTTTCTAAATGAATTCTGTTTTACAATAGGAACCTTAGTTTATTTTATTGGACTTAAAGAAGTTTAAGTTAATTCTGATAATGCAGGAAGAAGTACTTTGTTTGGTTAATTATGTTTTAGATTTTTCTTAGGGGATTCTGGATCAATAGGAATGATTATTTTTTCATTATCAATACTATATTATTGATGAAACTTAAACATTTTTAATTCTTGACTAGATTCATTTGTTTAATTAAGAATTGCATTTAAACGATAATGCTTTTCTTTTTAAGGTATTCTATTAAAAGTTTTAGAAGATTTGAATATTTTAGTAGGTCTGGTTATTGATAATTAATTTAAGAATTATTAATTTCTGGGACTGATATTATCTAAATTTTTTTATTCATATCTATCTTCATCAGATTCAGCAATAGTAAGTTTAAATTCATTTAGATCTTATTTAGATTGAATTGGAGATTACTTAATTGAATTTTTTTGCAAATAAATTATAAACAAAATAGATTATAATTATTAAAAAGTCTATAATGATTATAAATAATACTTTTTTTTTTAATTCTTAACAAATTCCAAATTCTTTAACACTCATAGGAATTGGATCATTAAATTTTCGAGTAATCCATGGATGAACTAATGCTTAAGAAGCAGTATATCGAGAATCTTGATCATTTTATAATAATCTTTATAAGAGATCTCGTGCAAGTGGAGATGAATGAAATGGTTATTCATATTTCAAATCTGGAAAACTGTTGATAAATTCTTTTTTAGTTAAAATCCTAGGATAAAATGGATGTTTTCCTTGATTCAATAGCATAAAAAGTACGATGCCACATGACCACATATCAACAGCTTTGTTATATGTTTTATTTAAAATTTATTCTGGTGCCATATATATAAATGTTCCACATTATTTTGAAACAGTCTAATAATAACGAATTTCAGGTTTGTATTAATAACTTAAACCAAAGTCAGCAATCTTTATGCTCGAAAGATCTTCTGTATTTTTAATTAAGATATTATCTAAATGTGTTATGTTAAAATACCAGGTTTGATATCACGATGTATAATCTATTTAGAATGAAGATATTCAATGCCTGTAAATATAGAATACATAATCTAACTGATAATTGACTCATCTAAACTTTTTTTCATTAATTCTTTCAATGAACCTCCAGCTGCATATTCCATTACTAAATATTAGTAATTTCCTTATTTAAAATACTTAAACTATATCAATATCATACAACCTAATAAAATTTTATGATATTTTTGTGTCTCAGATTTTTCATGATTGATGTTTCCTAAATTTAAGCACCTTACAAGAACTAATTAATCAAATTAATTTTACCTTGATTGCTACTTCCTCATTCTTATATAATCCCTTATATACTTAACCAAAGGCTCCTTCCCCAATCTTTTCAAGTATTCTTATATCCTTTTCCATGAAAAAATCATGTCTCATATATTTATATTTATTATTTAATTCTTGAATCTCATCTCTTCATACTCCATAATTACATTATACTACATGTATCAGAAATGATATAAATATAAACTTCATAAAATCCATCAATATTCAATTACAAATTAAGAATCTATTTATTAAACAGTCTAAATTCAGTATAAAATAATTTAACAATAATTACGTAATGAACAACGTACTCTGCAGTTTCTCGCCCTTTATAAATAGAAATTCTAATATTCAAACTGAAAACATTGAGTTTAAGATGAGGCTATTACATTTTGAACCTTTAAATATTAATACTTAACCAATAAAGCAAACAAGAATAAAAATAGAAAGAAATTTATCTCCTATTTCAAATTAGAATTATACTGCTCTATTCTTAAATAAAATTAAAGTCTAAAAAATGGCAATACAAAAAGCCAAGCTTTCATCAAGTATAGATTATAAAGTAATGCCATAATTATAAGTTAATGATTATACATAATTTCTCAAACCAACTACTCTTGTTTTGCCTTCCACTTAAAGAAGCAATAAAAAATATTTTAGTTAATCAAAACCATAGAAATGCAAAGATAATTCATTAATTGAATCTGAAAAAAAGGCTCGATTTAAAATTCCCTTTCGTTTACCAAAAATTGAAAAGTGTATCGAAATGAATGAATCAAGAAGCTCTCTTAATCGTTGGACTATGAATAGCTCTTCCAGTCTTTTATAAGCTCATAAATGATTAAATTTAATGTATATAGAACATCAAATAAATAAAAAATTAAAAACAAATTTCTAATTTGATATATGAAGTAATTTATAATTATTATATAATGATTCAATCTTAATATTTAATAGGTATCAAAATAATCCTAACCTCTATCTCTATCTTTAAACTTTTTTAGTTTGCAACGTAGAGCGATTCTATATTAATCAACATTATCTAATACTTTAATCCAAGGATGATTTAATGCTTCATCCAAAGATATTCTCTCATCTGGATCTTTATTTAATAATTTTGTTATCAAATCTTTTGCATCAGCAGATATTTGTTACCAAAAACTGTCATTTAAATCATAAGTACTATCTAAGATATTTTTTATTATATCTTCAGGAAAAGGAGCATCAAAAGGTAAAAATCCTTAAAATAAATTAAATAATCATACCAGATAATAAAAAATAAAGAATAACACCTAAAGCAAAGTTATCTACTTTAAAATCAATTCTTTTTTAAGATAAAGTTTCTGGAGCTAAATAATTTGTTGTTCCACATAAAGCTTCACCTTCTTTATTCTATATATTTGTTAAAAAGTTTGCAAATCCAAAATCAATAATTTTAACTTACTTTACTGTTTTTGTAATTTAATCAAGAACAATCATTATGTTTTCTGGTTTTAAATCTCTATGAACTATTCCAACACTATGAACATAATTAATAGTATCAAACAATTAACTCATTATTAAAGAAGATTCCTATTCATTTAAATTTTCATTATTAGTAATATAATCAAATAGATCTCCATCTCTAACAACTTCTGTAATTATATTTAAATGAGTTTTAGTCTCTATTATCTCAACAAATCTAATAATACATGAGTGATTCAATAATTTCATTATTTCTACTTCATGTCTATTTATAATAAAATGTTGAATTATACGCTAACATTAATTTTTCTTATTTTGATAATTTAAATTTTTCAATAATCTTTATTGCCAATTGTTATTTAGTTTTCTTGTCTTCACAAAGATAAACAATTGAAAATTTACCTTCTCCAATCTTTTATAATATAGAATAATAATCATTTACTGATGCCCTATTTCAGGTTATAAAATACTTCTAAAACATTTATAAGCTTGTAGTCCATTTCTTAAATTCCTCAAAATCTTTACAATAGTATAATCTTAAAGGATATACCTTATCTTTATGTGATATTTCAAAACCATATTATTATTCTTAACTATTTACAATTTCTTGGATTGTCAAACCATCTAAACAAAATATCTCTAAATTAAGAAATATAAAAAATATATTACTTGAAGGAATCACCTAATCAAGTTTTTTATAAGATAGACAAAATCTCTATATAAGTTTAAAATATCTATCTTTCATCTATTTTGGATTTTTTCTACTAACCTTTTTTAAATGTCCTTCTAAATCTTTTTAAGTAGTTACAAATAATGGTACTAAAGTACTATTATTAACTCCCCAAATATCATAATTAAATGCTTTATAAAGTCCATCAAATATTTTTGGATGTAATTTGACAAACTATTTAAATTCTTCTATTGATAATCTATATATATATATAAATAAATTATATTACTCTTCTTCTTGTTTTCCTTTATTTTTGTATATCATATCTACATATTTACGTACTAAATAATTCACATTTACTCTTTTTAATTCAACTAATTTTCCATTTATTTAAAATGATATATTTTAACCAAATTAACCCATAGGAACACCATTTGGTCCAACTAAACTTTCATTTGGAAACATCATAACAACACTTTATTCATTAAAATTAGGAAGACTAGATTAAAATGATTAACATTCAACTGATTATTATCTAGATAGTGATTTAATCTCACCACTTTATTAAGATCCTCTTCTTTATAATGCATGAACTATTATTTTTAATTTAAAAATTACCTGATTCAGTAAATTCTTATTCATCTGTTCTTAATGGTTGAGCTTTTTTTTAGTTAATTTTTTCTTTTTTTTCATAATATTTAAGAATCTTAAGATCTTCTAAGAACATTGGATCATCTAATAATCTAATTAAATCTTCTCTTGGATAATTTTAAAGCTTAATTTATAAATGCAAATTACCATTTGTAGGAACT